GATGCAATGAGGGTGGGTGGAGTTCACACGCCCATAAATAAGGACGAAAGCGGTTTTAAAGAAACAAATCCTCTTATTTATGAAGAAGTGCAACAGGTAAAGACACGAAATATCGACTAATGTATGTATCTTAATGTAGTGAACGACATTTCGGATGCAATGAGGGTGGGTGGAGTTCACACGCCCATAAATAAGGACGAAAGCGGTTTTAAAGAAACAAATCCTCTTATTTATGGAGAAGTGCAACAGGTACTGACATTTAATATCGACTAATGTATTTATCTTAATGTAGGGAACGACATTTCGGATATGATGAGGGTGGGTGGAGCCCACACGCCCATAAATAAGGACGAAAACGGTTTTAAAGAAACAAATCCTCTTATTTATGGAGAAGTGCAACAGGTACAGACATTTAATATCGACTAATGTATGTATCTTAATGTAGTGAATGACATTTCGGATACGATGAGGGTGGGTGGAGTTCACATGCCCATAAATAAGGACGAAAGCGGTTTTAAAGAAACAAATCCTCTTATTTATGAAGAAGTGCAACAGGTAAAGACACGAAATATCGACTAATGTATGTATCTTAATGTAGGGAATGACATTTCGGATACGATGAGGGTGGGTGGAGTCCACACGCCCATAAATAAGGACGAAAGCGGTTTTAAAATGACAAATTCTCTTATTTATGGAGAAGTGCAACAGGTACAGACACAAAATATCGACTAATGTATGTATCTTAATGTAGGAAACGACATTTCGGATACGATGAGGGTGGGTGGAGTCCACACGCCCATAAATAAGGACGAAAGCAGTTTTAAAGGAACAAATCCTCTTATTTATGGAGAAGTGCAACAGGTACAGACATTTAATATCGACTAATGTATGTATCTTAATGTAGTGAACGACATTTCGGATACGATGAGGGTGGGTGGAGTCTACACGCCCATAAATAAGGACAAAAGCGGTTTTAAAGAAACAAATTCTCTTATTTATGAAGAAGTGCAACAGGTACAGACACAAAATATCGACTAATGTATGTATCTTAATGTAGGGAACGACATTTCGGATACGATGAGGGTGGGTGGAGTCCACACGCCCATAAATAAGGACGAAAGCAGTTTTAAAGGAACAAATCCTCTTATTTATGGAGAAGTGCAACAGGTACAGACATTTAATATCGACTAATGTATGTATCTTAATGTAGTGAACGACATTTCGGATACGATGAGGGTGGGTGGAGTCTACACGCCCATAAATAAGGACGAAAGCGGTTTTAAAGAAACAAATCCTCTTATTTATGGAGAAGTGCAACAGGTACAGACATTTAATATCGACTAATGTATGTATCTTAATGTAGTGAACGACATTTCGGATACGATGAAGGTGGGTGGAGTCCACACGCCCATAAATAAGGACGAAAGCGGTTTTAAAGAAACAAATCCTCTTATTTATGGAGAAGTGCAACAGGTACAGACA